AATAAGATTTTTGAAGAAATCAATACAAATCTTATGAATTGAAAAGTTAAAGTTTTCTGAACCAAGGACAAAAAGCTGACTGATAAGGAAACAGATGGGCACATTTTACTATATTCAAGGTAGGCATTTCTTTTTGTTAAGACATCATTAAAGTAATGGAAAGAAAAAAACCCAGGTTTTTTTTTTTTAATAATTTGTGTGTTTGTTGAAGGACTCATATCCAGACTATGTACTCTGCCAATCAGAAAAAAAAAAAAAAAAGGCAACCCAACAGGAAAACAATGGACAAAAGTCTTGAGTAGGCCCTTCATTAAGAGAATATCCAACAGACCAATACAAATGTATGAATAAATACTTAATCTCACATAGTCATAAAGGATGTATGAATTCAATCCACATGGAAGCACAATTACACATCCCTTTGATATTTGAAATTACTACACTTACAATCCTGAGTGTTGGGAAGGATATGCTGCCACATGACCATTAACATCAGGATATACAATGCTATAACAACTCTGTGTTCAAGTAATTCTGTGTCCCAAGAAATTCTTGGATATTTTAACAGAAGCATTTATATGTGTGTCAAAAAATATCTATCAAAAACCATGTACAAAAATGTTCATAGCAACACCATTGATAATTGTCTAAATTGGACATAATACAAATCTCCATTAACATTGGAGTAGAGAAACATTTTATGAAATATTTATAACTGTCCCTTTCCCTTTTTAATATCAATAATACATCAGTAATTAGTGAATATGAAATTTTACACATGTTAGTATGAATGACTCTCATAAACATAATGGTGGACAAAAAGAAGTCAGATCCAAGAGTATATACTGTTTTGCTACTTCTAATTATAGAAAGATAAAAAAATTACAGGAAAAATATTTTCTTAGGATGAAAGACAGGTAGAGTCTCCCTCATGGAGGTGAAAGAGGGTTCTGGAATTCTGGTAGTGATCTGTAGCTTGATCTGGGTTGTGTTATCATGGGTGAGTTCAGTTCATAAAAATTAAACTATACATTTACAATCTGCTAACTTCTTTGTATTATCCTTTAAAATATTTACATTAAAAAAAGGAAAGGGATAGTTACTGAATTTTATATATATATGTGTGTGTGTATATGTATACACACACATATATATATTAAATATATAAAAATTTTATTTTATATCTATACACACATTAAAAAGGAAAGGGACAGTTACTGAAATTCATATATTTATCATGGAACTAATCATCACTTCTCTAGGTTTTATGCAAGCAACTCAGTCTACAGAGTGGACTTAGGGGTAGTGAAAATGTTGGCATAAAACCTTTAAGATTTTAAGCCTTTAAGTTTTAAAGCTTTAAGTCCTCCATGTACTTACCACTATCATGAAATCATAGCTGTTTCAAAAGAATGACCGCATTTGACAACAGTATTTCAGAGGCATTTCTTTCAACAAATGCTTATTGGATTTCTGGTCTTGTTCTGGCATCACACTTGATGGTGACTGAAGCAGAACACTCTATTATCAGGCCATCATCCTCACTAGACTGCCAACCAGCACACCCACATGCACTTTATGCTTGGATTTATTTTCATGTGGCCACTTGAAAATTAATGCCTGGAGGGAAGCAGAAGTGAATTACTGCCTGCACTTGATACAGTCTATGGGCAGAATACTCCATGACAGAAGCTCAGGGTGCCCACTGATTTATGAATGCCAACACCTCTCTGCTTGTCTATGTGTGTTATTACACCATTGTTCTTTAATGGATTCTAGTAATATACTTTTAAATAGTTGTTCAAATGTATGTGCATTAGAATCATCTGGTCAAGTTGTCAAAAATGCAGATTTCCAAACCCGCTCTGAAGACTTAGTGAAGCAAGGTGTCTGCGTTTTTAACAACACTTCAGATGGTTCTGTGAAGATATTTTTGTGGACTACAATTGGAGAAACATTGCTTTAATTAAACTCACTCTCAGCAGACCATAGCTGTTAAGGATGTGATATCTTTGCTGTGAATCTGTGGGGACTTTTCCTTTTGGAATTTTTTTTCTGTATATCAAAAGGATTATAGTCAGTTATTAGGTCATCTTTATTTGAAACAAAAGGGTCAAGTTGCTTGTTAGCTAAGTGAATATGAGAAAGTAAATGGAGAATAATTAAAATTAGGAGTTTAGAAACTATCATCAGCTTCTATAATGTAATCATAAAATATATTACTTGGACAAAACCAAAATGTCAGATGGACCTGTTATTGATTTAAACCACTAAAGTTTACAAGAAGTTTTACAACCCTGGAATTCTGAAACTATTTTTGGTGCATGTAGTTTCATGCCATCTTTTGGGAAGATCTGTATCCCATACCACTGACATTTTTGTTTGTCAAGATTTAGATAAAAGGATGTGAGTCTTTGCCCACACATTGCCTCTTTGCTTCACCACTTGGGCTGGAAATAATTAAGGTGGAGCTGAAACAATGACTCAATGCCTATTTACCCTATGGGCATTAATTCACCAAGTGTTGAAATAAGTACACAGTGTAAAAAAGAAACAATACTGTTTCTTTTCCTACATTAGACATTTGTTCCTTAATGCATTTCTAGGAAATTTTCAAAGTGTTGGGCTAAGTTTTGCTATAATTTATCCTTTTCAGAGCTTCCCTCTCCTTCCATGCCAGCAAAGATTACAAATTAAGTGAAGAAAGTGAACTGAGATGTGGTTATCATAATCCACTCTTAAACCAGCCTCTTAAAATTACTTTTCATTCTATGTCTCCCACTGCTACAGATCGTAGCTTGCAAAGATGAGACTTTATGCAGACTGCAGTATCAAAGTTTGCAGCTGTCAGTGGTTTTCCACTGTCCTACATCCTTTGGTAGCTTAACTTTTGAAGTGGCTTACTAACAAAGCAAGAGGAGAAACTAGGAAAATTACTACTCTTGACAAAAATTCTAAAATATTGTCTTTACTGAAAAATAAAAATAAGAAGAATTGAAGGGGAGAGCTCTGCACTAGTTTCCAATAAAAGTCTATTGATATTTTGACCTATAAACACAGTGTAGCCATGCTGTTGTATGGTATTTTATCGTTTTGTCAGAATTTGAATTCATTATATGACCCACTGAGTCTACAATAGCAGAGCCAGCTGGTTATATCACTGTTAACTTCTGCCAATTCAATTTGCTACACTCTCTTCCCACCTGGTCTCTCCCAGGGAAGTTCCCGTTCTGCTTTCCCTTTCTTGTTTGACCCGAGAAAACCTCTCCCTCTTCTTCAAAGATTCAAATGAAGATCAAGCCTCAAAAGACACTTTCTCAACCCATGCTTTTGACTTTACTTGTGTGTAATAATCCAGGTGACTGAGTTACGAGTCATTGGCATAATATATCTGGTTGTCTCCTGTTTATCCTTGCCTTTGAAATTAGGCTATTAGCATCTGACTCACTCCCATAATTCACATCTGCAGTTTTGAGTGTGGCTCCCTATCAAAGCCCAACTGCTTCTAGACAGACACTTCCTGGCAAATAGTAGTCACTCACATTTGTTGAATGAATGAATGATGTTTATGGTCTGCATGCCCCTCCTTCCCACACACTTTGTGTTTTTTCAGTTGCCTTTTGCCTAGTTACATGTTTTCTAATATTTGGGGGGAACATAAAAGAGATTGTTAGCCCCATTAGAAGGAATGAACCCTAAGGGATGATGATGAGATACATTTTTGTACATTTCATTTGAAATGCTAATTGAGGGTCTCCCTGGTGGCACAAGGGATTAAGCACAGCACTGTGAAGCCTCTGCAGCACAAGTTGGATCCCTGGCCAGCCAGGGGGCTACCCACATGGTGCAGCAGACCTCTCCTGTCTGGCCTGCTGCTCCCCTCAGCAGTGTATTTCTGTCAGTCTCCCTGTTCTGTTCCCCACTCTGTCTCTGGTGAGTCTTCTCACCCCTCACAGCTCTGGCCTGTACCCCAGTTCTTGTATGCATAAATAAATAAATCTTCTTATAAAAAAAAGAAGTGCTAATTGAATATTCCCCTTAAAATCACATGTTTACTTAACATTTTAAAATCATGTTTAAATAACATTTTTACTGCTCTTCTTTAGTCCATTTTCCTTTGCCACCCTCCCACTCAGTCTTTTTATTTGCTAGTTTGTCTGCCATGGCCCTGTTGGAAGATATAAACATTGAGTTAGAACTTGCAATAACTACCTTTTCTCTAAAATAATATATCTGAAGTATAAAAAGTATCAGACTCAGCTGAATTATTAACTATCTCAGGTAGATTAACTAAAATGCAGACATCCCACTGTAAAGTTACTGATTATAGGTTTTAGGGGATAGGGGACAGGAGTATGTTTTCAGCAAGAACCCTAAGTGCTACTTTTGAGACTTAACTACCCTTGACCAAAAATGTATTAGCTCCAAACTGGAAAATTAAATATAAAACAGAACTATTTGCTGACTACTAATATAAATGCCACCACTTAAGGGTTGTGCAGTACCCAACCTGCACAACCATACAAGGCAACCCTGTCACAATTAACAATATTTATCTCACACTTTCATTATTTTGTTTGGTAAATAAAAAGCTAGGTTAATTCTTCTAATGAAGACAAGCATCATGATCCTGAATCCCTGGTCTTGTCATCATCATGTTAATTATTACAGAATAACCTTCCTTGTTGGGTGAGATCACAATGATTGTCTAGTAGTTGGACTGATATGTTGGCTGCAGTGAACAGAAATGTATATCTCCTCTAGGTAGACAGAGGAATTCTGGATAAATCACCTAATAACCCATTCCTCTCACAGAAGACATGCAGGGGAGAGGCATACTATGTAAAAAGTATATAATCTGTGGTATTCTATAATATATCTTATCTCAGACATTTTGAATAGATTCATTGAAAATATCCTTACATCACATATTGATATAAACAAATTAGAAATCATAAATCACATTTTTGCCACCTTCTTTTTGTGTTTTCTGTCTCTAGTTGACACTCCAGATCCATATGTGGAACTTTTCATATCCTCAACCCCTGACAGCAGGAAGAGAACAAGACATTTTAATAATGATGTAAATCCTGTGTGGAATGAGACATTTGAATTTATTTTGGATCCCAATCAGGACAATGTTCTGGAGGTGAGTGAATTATTTGGGGACTGTTAAATGGTCACCTTCATGTTGACACTGATGCTCAAGTAGGTGTGGTTGGCATCCAGCTGTGCAACATGGTAGTCTAGCTTGTAAATGGTGCTCATCAATTCTGTGAGGGTCCAGTGGAAATGAAGACATTATGTAGGGCTGGGAAGAAGCCATTATCCTCCCCCACGTACTTCAGAGAAAACATATTTTCTGTTTTAAAGAAGATCCAAGTATGAAAGAATAAAAATATTTTCAATTCCCTTTCAAATAAGTTATAATAAATCCTTTTGAATGTAATTGCATGGACTTCCTGCATTAATTTATGTCTTACATTCCAAAATGACATTTCTTTTGAGAGGGGATAAAGTTCCATTTTTGAAAGCAGGATAATGAAATAGGTCAACTGGGAAGATTTTTTATAATCATCATTATTTCAATAGCAAATGTAGACTTCAGGAAGGAAAGACAGCTGTATTGTTACCTGTTGAATATTGAGGCTCTCAAATGAGAAATATGAATTAAAAATTTAATTTGTTAAATGTCATGGGAATTTTTGGATGTAGATTCCATATATCCAAGGGAAACTTTATAGTCATGGTCTAGCTTTCCCTCTGTATAGATCACGTTAATGGATTCCAATTACGTCATGGATGAAACTCTAGGGACAGCGACATTCCCCATATCATCTATGAAAGTGGGAGAGAAGAAAGAAGTTCCTTTTGTTTTCAACCAAGTAAGTAACACAACAGAATTACATGCATGATAAAAAGATATCACCATACTATGAGATGTGTGCCTGTGAGGTGTGTACAGAGTGCTGTGGGAAGACAGACTAAAGAAAGATTGTGTTATGAGAAGAGGACAGGAAGGGCTTGATTTCAGTAGATGACTTGTAACCTCTTGATGTGGGGATCAGCTTGGCATTTCAGGCCAGGCTGTTTGGTGTTTAAATCCCAGTTCTGTCCCTTACCATCTGTTTTATCCTGGTGAAGTCACTTAGCTCCTCTCCTTCTCAGTCTCCTCATCTGTAAAATGGAGATTATATCTCACAAGAGAGTCATTATGATTAAGTGTTTTAATTTTATGTACATATAATCTCTTGTGATACTGTGTATTGGCAATAAAATGAATATTACAAATGTATACCTTAAATCCATTTAGATATTATCATATTATTACGTGTAGTCTGGAGGCACAGTAGTGAAAGAATTCACCAGAGACCGAGTGAAAAATAGAACAGATGGATTTACTATGAGAGGCAGCAGACAAGACAGGAGGGGTCTCCTCTGTCACTAGTGAGGTCCTGGGGCTCTTTTTATTTATTTTTTAAAAGATTTATTTATTTATTTATACAAGCACTGGGTACAGTCAGAGGCAAGGGAAAGTGAGAGAATTCACCAGAGCCAGAGCAGGGAGCAGAACAGGCAGACTGACAAAGTACACTGCTAAGGGGAGCAGCGGGCGGCAGGAGAGGTCTGCGCGCCATGTGGGACCCTCGCCCGGTGGCCGGGGATAGAACTGGCACTGCAGAGGCTGCGGGCAGCTTCTCAACCCAGTGCTCAACCGCTGCACCACCGGGGAGGCCCCCCAGGCTCTTTTTATACTCCAGGCACCATTGGTTAGGGTGACTAGTCTTGGGTGTGTCCTAGCTGATTATGTGAATTAGCACAACAAAGCATCAGCTTTTTGGAGCATCAGCTTAATACTCAGGTTTCCATGGCAGTTCCACCTCCTCCCTTTATCCAGTCAAGCCTCCCTAACTTGCCTGCTGGGCAAGGAATGGGGACTTGGGTTTTTAAATTTAGCAATGAGGGTCTCCCTAGTGGCACAAGGGGTTAAGACGCAGCACTATGAAGCTACCTGCAGCCACTGCAGCACAAATTTGATCCCTGGCCAGGGAGCTGACCCACCTGGCACAGCAGGTCTTATCTCACCTGCTGCTCCCCTCAGCAATGTATTTCAGTCTGCCTGCCTGTTCTATTCTCCACTCTCTCCCTGGTGAGTCCTCTCACCCCCCACACCTCTGGCCTGTACCCCAGTTCTTGTATGCATAAATAAATAAATCTAAAAAAAGATAAATTTAGCAACGATACCATGAGTTACCATTAATTATAATTATATTTCACTTATATGAAATATGATTATATACTACTTAGTTTATCTTTATCACCACATAATTTATTACAGTTAAATATATAATAATCATTTATTATAGAAATATATGTAAGTGCTATACTCACATAGATGTATCCACATCATCTAGTGCATCTTAGAACAGTACCTGGTACATAGTAAACATTACATAAATGCTTATTATTTTGGTTGCTGCTGTTATTGTACATAAAGAAATTAAGAATTTCAGTGGTCAGAGAAGCAGTTATGAGCAATCCAGGCAGAAGAAACCGAAAAGACATGGAGTCTTAAAAGAAGAGAGCAAGTTGAGGCCTGGCAAGTTCAAGGGCCTGGTGGGTAAGGGTTGTTGAGTAGCAGGGTAAAGAGATTAGAGGTAGTCAAAGGTTAAAATCACAGACCTCACCAATTACGCGGTGCTAGGATCCCATCTCACTACATGTTTGTTGAGACCTTTGTGAGTGTGAATTAGCTTTCCAAAGTGTACTGCTTCTTTCCACTTTTCAGTCTCTCTGACACAAAGATTGATTCTAAGAGAAGATTTTGTGGGAAAACATGTATTTCTCCTTCTCTGGTCATATCCTCTGCTTAGGTGTATACCTCCAGGGTCTAAAAAAGGTTTTTAGATATTGTCATATTATTACGTGTAGTCTGGAGGCTACAGACTGTTTTTTTCACATTCCTGAATTTAAAGTAGCTTACATGCTCAGCGAAATAAGTCAGAAAGAAAAAGAAAAATACCGGATGGTCTCACTCATAGCAGGAATCTAGAAAACTTAAATAAGGGACCAGGAAAAAGAATAACTATAAGAAAGAAAATATCAAAATCAACAAACAACTATGAACCAGAGACACTCTATGGGGGGTGGGGGGCAGGGAAAGGAGGGCTTGGGTCAAATTAAGGGGGTTGTAATTGTATGGGGAATATAAAAAATAAAATTTAAATAAAATGTGGAAAAAAAAATAAAGTACCTTAACATAATCACTTTTCTTTTGTGTGGCCTGAGGAAGTGGTTAGCCAAACTGCTTTTCTTCATGCTGTGTTCTGAAGTCCTTTACAGCTTTAATCTGAATGACAGTTCTGTGACAGTGTGGGGAGAAGGTTAGTGTGTGTGGCTGTTGGGGAAGCCCCCTCCTCCTCAAGTCAGGAATGGCCACCGAGCAGGTTTTCTAGGATCCAGCAGACCTGGTAAAGGAGGAGTCAGAGTCCTCAGTGGTTTTGCAGGGTTTTATTGGTATTGCCAGGTACACAGCAGGCAGAGGTACTGGGGCGCTGGGAGGCTGGCAGGCCTCCCAGCCCCCAGCAAGTCTTCACTCTATCCGGGCTCTCCGGCCTTCTCTCTCTCTTGGCTTCTGCTGGCGTCCCCATGACGCCACCCTTAAAAAGCACAGTCTGAGCCCAGGTGAATCCCATCTACCTATGCCCACACCCTACTCCAGGTGCCCGCCATCAGGCATGCATTCAGGACTGCAGGGTTCTGTCATCTATCCTGATGGCGGGAGGGCAGAAAAGCCTGACATTTTTTCCTTACCCTACACGTGCCCCCCTGCTAGCCTTTCAGTCTCTCCTCATCTCTGAGAGATCAGTCTTTTCTCTACAATCTTCACAGAGAACATTATCAATAAAAACTTCAAAGTTTTGTCATCCTGAAGTTATCCTAGGTCAACACAGAGTGATGTCTGTGTCCAGGAGCCAGCTGCAAAAATAACTGGGAATTGGGAAAGTCTGAATCTCATTTTGTCTCTATTGCTAACCCTTTTCCAGAATGTTTAACTTATCATTCTCTCCCTCTGTCTTATTTTCTTCATCTTTAAAATAAAGGTTTTGATTAACTTATTTCTAAGATCCTTTCTAATTTATATAATTCTGTGATGTAGAAAGAATGCTTATTTTTCATTTGACCATTTTCACCCAAAAGCTTTCAGTTCTTCCCATTTTATAGATAGGATCACAAAATAATAATAGTGCAATAATACAAATTTTTATTATTTAATTTTAAATGTCTGACCTATCAACAGATTATTTTTCTTAATAGGATAAGTTGAGCTTTTATTGTGCTCTTAAAACTTTGCTAAATATTAAAGATACTGCAAAAATGCCATCCCAAGGAATTTGTTTGAAAAGGAATACATACTGATAAGTAATAAAATAATGCATTTATGCATTCATTTACCTACTTAGGAGTTATTTATTGAACATTTGTATATTCTAGGCAAAATTCTATGTAATGGGTAAATAGCACAGGGAATGATACATGACCATTTGGTTCCTGGTTGTAGGGTAAGGAAAAATGTCAGGCTTTTCTGCCCTCCCGCCTTCAGGATAGATGATGGATCCTTGCGGTCCTGAATGCATGCCTGATAGTGGGCACCTGGAATAGGGTGTGGGCATGCGTGGATGGGATTCACCTGGACTGAGACTGGGCTTTTAAGGGCGGCATCATGGGGACACCAGCAGAAGCCAAGAACGAACAGAAGCCAAAAGAGAAGACGAGAAAGAAGTAGCAGAAGCCGAGAGAGAAGCAGAGAATGCCAGAGAGCCCAGATAGAGTGAAGACTTGCTGGGGGCTGGGAGGCCTGCCAGCCTCCCGGCCCCCCAGCACCCCTGCCTGCCATATGCCTGGTAAATCCCAATGAAAGACCTGCAAAAGCCACTCTGACTCCTCCTTTACCCAGTCTGCTGGATCAGAAAACCTGCACTGTGGCCTGTCCTGCCCATACACTGGGACATCTACATTCTAATGGGGAATGTCAGTGGGTGGCAGTTTTCACTGCCATCAACACAGTATCAGTGAGTGATAACTACTGTATAGTGCTACACTATAAAGAAAATAAAATAGATAGTGTTACACAGAACAGCTGGTGTGCCGCTAAAGTTTATATAGTTAAGTTAAGGAAGGCATCTCTAAAGCATAATTTTCCCCCAAATTTTATTATAAAAATTTTCAGGGCCTCCTTGGTAGCATAGGAGTTAAGTCTCAGCACTATGGCCTCAGCTCCTGGCCAGGGAGCTAACCCACATATGACAAAAAACAGACCTCACCTGTCTCGGCCGCTGCTCCCCTCGGCAGTGTATTTCAGTCAATCCACCTTTTCTGCTCCCCACTCTGTTTCTGGTGACTCCTCTCACCCCTCTACCTCTGGCCTACACCCCAGTTCTTCTATGCATAAATAAATAAGTAAATCTTGAAAAAAAATTCAAATGAAATAAGTCAAAAGGAGAAATACAAATACCAGATGGTGTTACATGTGGAACACAGAGAAGCGATACAAAGGGTCAGGTAAAAATGAATCATAACAAACCCTAAAAACCTGACTGTAGAACTGAGCCAATGCAAGGGGAAGGGTGAGAGCAAAGCCATGAGGGAGCTCAATAGAAGATGGTGGAGGATAATGGTTGCCTTGGTGAGGTGCAGTGTGGTAACAACACCCGAAGGAGGAGATCACAATCAAAGTACAATCATAAACACTGCAAATCAGTGTTACCACAATTAAAAATAAATTCATAAAATATAAAGAAAATTTCAAACTTAAAATGTCGAAAGGTTTAGGACCTCCTTGGTGGCACAAGGGGTTAATCACAGCACTGTGAAGCTATCTGAA